GAAAGGGGAAAGGGGGGGGGGGGGGGGGGGGGCTTGTTTTCCTCTCAAGGCAGATTCCACACGCCCTGCTTTGAAAAAAAAGCCTCTCCAGCCACTGTTGGCGGTGCATATGTGTGAAAGGGAGAAACAGCTGCTTGAATCGGGTTCTCCCTGGGTGATTTGATGCAGGAAAGAAGGGGGTGGATCATAACCACACAGTGCTCTCTCTTTTTGTTGTGAAGGGAAGACCTGCTTTCCGAAGCACTGCTTCTAACCTTCCTCCTCCCGATCGTCTACCGTTTTTTAAAGACACAAGCATTTGGAAATCTCCTCTCCCCCCCCCCTTTCTCACATTGCAGCTTCTTGCTGCCTGGAAGTGTCTCTTTGATCATTGTTGGTAGGATTCCCAAAGCACGGGGAAAAGAACAGCCAGAGTACAAAGCAGCCAAGGCAGTGGGCAGAACTCAGAAGTGTTGTGCAAGGAGGCTGGCCCCGACAAATGCATGAAGCTGGGGGAGGGAGCTGATCGGCATCCTGTAGCCATGAGTTCCACCAACCACTGCAGTCGCTTAGCTCTGCAGGACCCAGGTTTGAGCCGGCACCCCACAAGTTCCTGAATGAATGACTCTAAAGTCCATCATCTTCTGCAATGCGGTTTCTCCCAGTCACCAAGCCTCTTCTTTGTTCCTACACAAATGATTAAGCACCTCTGGCGTACTCACCTCTTGTCTCTTTACTACCACCCCCTTCAGAAACTGCTAAAGGATGACGAATGCAGCTCTTGTCTCATGCATTTCCTCCCCCCCCCCCACACACACACACTCAAGAGAGGGAAAACAGTTGATGAGCCACTCTGAAAGGCTGTCTTTCCTGCCCTTGTCTTTCTTGCCAGCAGCCTCCCTTGATTAGTCAATGTGGCTTTAGTAAGAAGATGTAAAAGGCCTCTCCACCCACCTCCCCAGCTGTTCCCACTGCAACTGGAGCAGCAGAGGGCTGGTGTCAGCAGAAGGATCCGCCCCGGGGCCTGGAGCGGCTGATGGTGGTGGAGGTGCAGAATCGATCGGTTCTGTCAGCTTTAGTTTTTCCAGTACGCAAAGCAGGAAATTTGGAGTAAAAAGGCTTTTGCGGAGATTGACAGAGGTCCTTTTTTCAGAATTGGGGGTGGGGGCGTGGTGGGATTCTTTTTCTTTTTTTCGTTTTGCTTCGGCAATAATGCCACAAAAGGGCTGGATTTTGGAAATGCTATATTCAGCATCCCGAATGAGAGTGTGTCTGTGTATGCACATGAGGGAAGAGGGAAGAGAGTCTCTGTACATGTAGCCATGGGTTATTTGACGTTTCTAAAGAACTGGTTTCTAAAGAAGTTTCTAAAGCTCCTGCCAACCTAGCAGTTCGAAAGCAAGAATTTGCAAGTAGATAAATAGGTACCACTTAAGTGGGAAGGTAACAGCGTTCCGTGCGCCTTGGTGTTTAGTCATGCCGGCCACATGACCACGGAAACGTCTTCGGACAGCGCTGGCTCTTCGGCTTGGAAACAGAGATGGGCACCGCAACCCTAGAGTCGGATTCGACTGGCTTTCGAGCAAGGGTACCTTTACCTTTAAAGAACTGGTATCCTCCTGCCCTTTCTAAACGTATAGACCAGGAATCCCACTTGGCCAAGTAGAGCTCCCCCACAGGTATATGAAGGCTGGGCTGCACCCTCTTGTGAGGACACATGAAGCTGCCTTATACTGAATCAGACCTTGGTCCATTAAGGTTAGTATTGTCTGCTCAGACTGGCAGTGGCTCTCCAGGGTCTCTGGGAGAGGTCTTTCCCATCACCTGCCACATGACCCTTTTAGCTGGACATTCCAGGGGCTGAACCGGGGACCTTTCTGCATGTAAAGCAGAGGCTCTCCCACTGTGCCACAGCCGTCTGTGAGCGAAGAAGCCGTTGCAGGTTAAACACCCCCAAGAGAACCTTCAGCTCATAGTCGTGGACCTGATCATACCAGATCATTGGTTGATTCTTTGGGCTGGAAGGGTGTGTGTGTGTGGGAGGGGGGTGCCCTTTCTATGCAAGGCAACCTGCATTCCAGGTCTAAGCACTGTTTCAACGTAAGGCAAGTTTGAGTGCAGAAGTAAGCGAGCACACAAGCAGATCAAGGTTTTTGTTTTTTTTATCCACCTTGAGTTCCTGTTGGGAGAGAGACAAGGTGAAAGTTACTTTGTTTGTTTTTCTAAGAAAGTAAAATGCCCTGACCTGGCTGGTCCAGACTAGCCCAATTTCAGAAGCTAAGCAGGGTCAGCCCTGGTTAGTACTTGGATGGGAGACCGCCAAAGAAGTCCAGGGTTAATCAGTGTTCCCTCTAAGCTGAGTTAGTGTGAGCTAGCTCACTGTTTTCTAGCCTCCAGCTCACTCATTTTTGTCTTAGCTCAGGAAGGAGGGCTCCAGAGCAAACTAATTTAATGCAGCAGCCAACTCGCTCGCTCACAACTCTAATCCCGGTAGCTCACAAAGTAGAATTTTTGCTCACAAGACTCCACAGCTTAGAGGGAGCATTGGTTGCGGCGCAGAAAATCCCACAAGGTTGCCGTAAGTTGGTTGCAACTCAACGACGCTGTCCACTAGCAGAGAGCTCTAGGGCAACATCAGTTCAGTGTCGCCACCTCTTCCTCTGCCTGACTGCCTTCTCGTCTTCTCCTCCTTCCCAGGTGCGATAGCGGCGACCGTCGTTCAAGATGCCGGAACAAAGCAATGATTACCGCGTGGTGGTCTTCGGTGCCGGTGGCGTGGGGAAGAGCTCCCTGGTCCTGCGCTTCGTCAAAGGCACTTTCCGCGACACGTACATACCGACCATCGAGGACACCTACAGGCAGGTCATCAGCTGCGACAAGAGCGTCTGCACCTTGCAGATCACCGACACCACGGGGAGCCACCAGTTCCCGGCCATGCAGCGCCTCTCCATCTCCAAGGGCCACGCCTTCATCTTGGTCTTCTCCATCACCAGCAAGCAGTCCCTGGAGGAGCTGAAGCCCATCTACCAGCAGATCGTGCAGATCAAAGGCAGCGTGGAGAGCATCCCCATCATGCTGGTGGGCAACAAGTGCGACGAGACGCAGCGCGAGGTCGAGACGAAAGAGGGCGAGGCCGTGGCCAAGGAGTGGAAGTGCGCCTTCATGGAGACGTCGGCCAAGATGAACTACAACGTCAAAGAGCTCTTCCAAGAGCTGCTCAATCTGGAGAAGAGGAGGAACATGAGCCTCAACATCGACGGCAAGAGGTCCAACAAGCAGAAGAGGACAGACAAAATCAAGGGGAAGTGCAGTCTCATGTGAAACCGTCCCTCTTCTCCGTTCTCCTCCTCCTCCTCTCCATTGTCGGTGTCCACACTCCAAACTCTCGTTCACATTCCCACTCCTCACCTCTCTCTCTCTCACTCCCTCTTTGCATCTTAGCGCTGTGACGGCATTAGGGATGCTGAAACACCTCGAGCTCACTTGCCGATTCTTTCTCCTCTTGGCTCCCTCCATCCAATATGGAGCAACGCAATATTGCATGGGAGAGGCACTCCTTCTTGCAGCTGGAGATGAAACTATCTCTCTTCCCCCCCCTCCCCTCCCCGCCCCTCCTTTGCTTATTACTCCTGAACTGTCCCGAGTGGAGGAGGATAAACTTTGGAGCCTGGCCATACTGGGGCACGGTGGGAGGAAGTCTCCCTTCTCCCGCCTGAGGCGATGCTGTTCTTGGAAGGTGGTCTGCGGTTGGAGCAGAGGAGGATTCCCCTGTTTGGAAACGACCTCTGCACGGTGGTGGGGGTCCCGTGTGGCAGGAACAGATCGACATTGCACAGCGGGGAGCACGGATTGGTGCACAGAGACACTCTTGCTGCATTGCATGGGGTGGGGGGGGGAAGGGACTCTTCCCAAACTCCAAATAATGCAAGGGGGCTCTTTCGGCCCCCTTCTCCCCTGATCTTTTGCCTGTGAGCTGCACAAAACCAGAAAGGCACAATTCCCAGACGAGTTGGCTTTTTTCCTCCCGCCCACCCCCCACTTCACTCCCCCCCTTTATTTTATTTTTTTTAATCCAGAAGGATGATTGACAGACAACACTTGGAGGTCCCTTTGGTCATCGCAGCCCCGCTGGGTAAGATGACGCTGTCTCAGGGTGCCTGCAGAAGCTGGAAGGGACATGAGTGGACATATCAAAGGTCTGAGCGTGGAGCTCTTGCCATCTTCGAACTTCAAGACGGATCCGAGGAGGACTTCCAAGCGGCACGGGTGGCTCTGACGCCCGACGAGGGGGACGGCGCAGGGCTGAAGCGTTTCGGCGGCACAGACTCTGCCGAGAGAGAACTCTTGTGTTCACCTCTGAAAAATGAGTGATTCCCCCGCCTGTTGCACAGCAAGACGCAGCGGACGGGAGCAGAGCCCGTCTAAAGGGACAGAAGGAAGGCGCCTGTCCAGAGCAGGTCTTCAGATGTTACCTTCCTCCGTCCCCCTTCCCCGCCCTCTTGCCAATATGCCAAACTTTGAACATTTCAACTTAAGACTTCTTTAATTTTGCTTTTTCTAAAAAAAAAAAAATAGTGTCTTATTTTTAAAGCAACTAAAATACAAAAAGAACAGCACATTTCTAGGGAGGAGGTGAGTATTCAGCTGACGTAGAAGGCAAGGAAAGGCAGTAGAGGCGAGGAACTGGGGAAGGCCAAGTGGAACCAGCCGGCCCAGTGAGAGGACAAAAGCAGCAGCTGCCCAGTTATTTATTTGAAATGATATCCCACTCTAGCCAAAGGGCTCGAGGGGGGGAGGGTTATACCTCTAAAAGTTCAGAAGCAAATCTTGTAGCAGAATAGACCCGTATTGTGGCTTCTACAGTTTTGCCCGGCGGCCTCACACGTCAGCTTGCAGAACAAAAGAGTGGCAGCAGCACCCAGCCCGCAACAAGTATCTAATCTAAAATAAAACACCTTTAAATCACATTCCTTCAAGAAGCTCAGGGCAGCATACTTGGGGTTATCCCTTGCCACATACCTGCAAGATAAGGTCGGCAGAGAGAGTGACTTTTCCCCCAAGTAAGTGTCATGATTGAAAATGGTTTTAAAACCCAAGTGGCCCCTTGTGTGGGACTTGACAGACAGCCACTCCTGGATCTTAGGTAGGAGAGTCATATTAATTCCCCCCAAAAAAACTTTTGTGTGCATCAAACAGAGCTTTCCTTGTGCGCTGAAATCCTCAAGGCAATTCAGACAAACCCCCACCCACACACATACAAAATTTAGTGTTAAAATGTTAAGCAGCAAGTGATTCAAGGAAGGCGGGAGTGTAGCAGTGGGCGGTGTCATGGTGAGGTTTGTTTGTGTGCAGGGAAAGGTGGCATGGGAATCCTTAGAGATGTTGGCTTGCCTGAGCAAGCAGCTCCAGATGGGATAGTGAAGATTGCTTACTACCACGTCTTCCTCCCTCCCTGTCTTCAGTCATTGGGGTCTGAGAGTACATCCGAGTGGCAGGGAGAAGCTCCGCAGTGAAAGGACCTCACTGGATGCGGCTCCTGAATGCTACCCAGCACAGAATTTGGAATCTCAGCTGTCGTGGTTTTTACTGCCTGGCCCCTATGACTGAAATGATAAGTTTTGGGAAACGTGCCGGCAAAGGGTTAGGGTTCTGCAGATCTCTTCCGCTAGGGGTGGTGTTTTTTTCCTGAAAGGAAGGAGCCTTCCCACAAGAGTGTCTTGCATTGAGGGAATGCCGCTTTGCCCTGGAGGAACATGGCACCACTAACGGAGCAGATCTGTGGCATCCCAAACCAGAGTGGGCAAAAGGGCTCCGGAAATTGTAGTGGGGTGGGGTGCTTCCCTGCAATGGGCGTTTGTCTTTCTCTATACTGTGTTTCCATTCTGTCTCTCATCTGTGCCCTCCTTTTCTCTGGCCTGCAGCTTGCTGTACCACTTTTTTTTTTTTGGCCTAAACCATTTGCACATTCTGAGCCCTAATCAAAGAGTAGCTTTACAGAAAGCCACTGGCATTTGAGATCAGTCTGTGCAAAAAAAAAATTGGGGGGGGGGACAAACACAAACCTGATTTGGTTTTGACCCACCTGGTTAAGCCAGTTGTTAATCTCTTGCAAAATTGCAGAGAGGGAAAAACCCGGCTGTTCTGTTCCTTTTTTAAAACAGGAATTTGGGTAGGGAAACGTGGAAGTGGGGGGGGGGCGGTGATGGTTTGAACCGAGGGCTGAGCTGTGGTTGGCTCAGGCAAAACATCTCCACTGAACTTTGCTTGCCGTTGCCTGACCCATAGCGTTGGACTTCTCTTTTGAAGGAAGGACGGGAGTATGCATTTTTAAAGATCAATTCTAGCACTGTGGATGTCCCACCAGCCCCAGGGCCTGGGAGACGGGGGAACCCATTTTAAGATGCCCCAATATTCTCTCTCGCCAGCCAAAGCACAACACCTCAAGCTCCTCATAGAGCAAGTTGACTTTAGCACAATTGCAGCTGAGGAAGGGGGTGTGGACACCAGATTTCACATCTGTGGAGCTGGAAGCTGGGGTATTGGGATGCTGGGCCAGGCCAAGGCGACTCTTGAATTTGGAGGTAGTCGTGTTGTGGGAAGGAAGGGTGAGCTTGGCAGGGTGGTGCGTTTGGATCTTCTGGGATCCGTTCTCATACACGACAGATTTCTAGGATCTCCAGGTGGAAGAGAGAGGGAGAACTGCTCAACAGTACTGAACTCAACGGAATTGCTGCAGTGCTTTTGCCAAGATAGCCCCGGGGTGCTTCTACTGTCCTCTGTTGGGTTTTGTCTCTCCCTGGTTACCCTTTCCTGCATTCTGGCAGCACTTTGGAGGTGTTTTTGTCCATACCTGGTTCTACCCCTCGGGATTGCAGCTCTCCTTAGGATGGGTGGGTAGATGAATTTAAAATGCTGAAGGTGTACGTAGATGGATTTTGGGCTTGGCACATCCAAGAAGTTTGTTGTGAATCCAAAATGAGGAAGGGAACCTCTATCTGTGTTGAATTCAGAAATAGCTTTAGTGGTAGGGGGGAAGGGAAGTACCCTTTCCCGGATGCCAGACAAATGTAGAATGGCTGTCAACTAAGTAAAAGCCATCTTGAAGTCAAGGATTCTAAAAGGTCCACAAGTCAGCTGTCTCGTGTGGCTTTTAGTGTGAACCTGTGGGAGACCCCGATTCATATCGAGGCCATGACGCCATGGGAACAGAGTGGGTTTTTCCTCCTTCCTGATCCCAATCCCCCCCCCCTTCCCAGAGCTGCTTTTCGCACCTTTCTGGGGGAGCGTTGAGGCAACATTTCAGCAACCTTTATCCCTACTATGGCCTCGGAAGTTCACCCTGTGAAGATGGGAGTGGGGGAGGCTAAAGTGTTTTGGGAGTTGGGGCAGAGTTTCTGGGCGGTGCGTGCCTCTTTGCCCACCTCTCCCTCAAACGACACTAGGAGAAGAAGACCAAGATGATGCAAAAACGAACCCATACAAAAAAAAATCTGCCTACATGGCATCATCCAAACCAGTTGTTTCTTTTAATAAAGCACCTATGTTGGCCCTTGGAACAGAAGTTGGACTACCTTGGCACAGAGAGTGCATGGCCCCGTCCCTGCTGTTCCCTAGTGTTACTGTGTGTATATATATATAAATTTGTGTGTGTGTGTTTATATGGGGAGGAGGTGCCCCCCCTAGACCTGCACAAGGGCTGCTATGCCCCATTAAGTTCTATGGTTCCTTGTGCAGGACCAGCACAATGGGTTAAAGGACAACTGCAAAGGTTCTCTCTCCTATCCCCTTATGGGACATGTATTTGTATCTGTTCCCCCCCCCCCCCCCGTTTAAAGCAGCGGTCACTTGCTCGCTGGTTGGTCTCCATATTTGCTCTTGGAGGAGCAGGTGTATGGCCCAGGCTTGGGGCCTTAATGAAACCCCACTCGCATGACCTTGCTCTACACAAGAATTTCACGCTTTCCTTTGACGCAGGCGCACCTTGCGGTTGAGGTTTTGGGCTACTTGCTTTAGTAGTGCAGAGGTTCAAACACGTTGAAAGGAAGCCGAGACTTTTTCTTTTTTTAAAAAAAAGTGAGAGAGAAACTGTGGTTTACACATGCGGTATAATCCAACCGGTCTGAGGATACAAAAGACCTCTTCATCTTCCCAGCTAAGATAAACACGTCTTGAATAATGTATGGTGCTTCAAAAACTCCTAAAAAAACAACAACGAAAGGCAACGTTTGCATTGTAAATAAACCGTCGTTATTAGACTTCCTCTCGATGCCAGCATGACGATATTAGCTACTGTGCATAACTGGCTTTTTAAAGAGAAAAGAAATGAGAAAATAATAATATTAATAATAATATAACAATGTAATAATAAAATGGAAACAAACCAATGGTACAATGTAGCCTTTATTCTAGAAATAGTCTTCCTTGAATGAATGAATAAAAAAAAATGAATTTATCCCATGTCCACCCATGATTGGCTTGGTTCTTGGGTTCACCGTGGAGTGAGGAGGAATCCTTTGGATAATCTGTTCCAGTTCCTTGTCCTGGGAAAGAACACTGCAGGTCACCGCAATATGTCTGCCTAGCCCTTTCCAAGGGAAGAGGGACAACCTGTTCTGCAGCTCATCTGTCCTCACAGGTAGTACGGCCTCCATGGGCTTCCCTGGAAGTCCCCTATCATCACTGTGGCTGCCTCCTAGGAAATTCAGGGTAGAACCTGAGCTACGATTGCCAAGTTACTTTGCAGCATTTGAAAACTGGCAGTGTCACTTTGCCCGATTGTTCTGCACCTCTGCTGTACCCATGCACCATCTTTGGCTTTTCAGGATGTACCTCTGTACCCAAGGGTGGACTGGCCCTTTGGGAAAGTTCCCAATAGGCCCCTGCCATTGGTGGCCAGAAGCACACTGAGCCAACTGGCCCTGGTGGTGCGGGCAGTTCTGTGGGGCTCGCTCAGCTCAGACCCACATACAGGCTTGTCCTACTCCAGGGCTATTTTGACATTCCTATCAGCCTTGCTCCATCATCTTTGCACCTCTGCCTATCTGGCCTCTCGGGGTCATTCATGTCCTTGTGACCCAGGAAGCCCAGAACAGAACACTCTGTTCTGGGGGAAGCCCTGCCACCAGTGAGCAAAGTGACGCGAGGACCGCTCAAGTCCTCAGAATGCAGTGTGGAGGGCCATGGCTCAATGGCAGAGCCTCTCCCTGGCATGCAGAAGGTCCCTGGTTTGGTCCCCGGCATCTCCAGTTAAAGGATCTGGCAGCAGGTGATGTGAAAGGCTTCCGCCTGAGACCCCGGGGAGCCGCTGCCAGTCTGAGTAGACTTTGATGGACCAAGGGGTCTGATTGAGTAGAAGGCAGCTCTGTGTGCTCGTGTGATGCTTCTGTTCATGAAGCTCCAGGTGGTGTTATGGGTGTGGGGCTTCCCAAGAAGCCTCTCATCCAGGTGACGACCTGATTCAGATCTGTTTCATTTAAGCAAGGTTCCTGCATCCAGTGCCTTCAGAT